ATTTAAATTATATATTTTAATAAATACTTAAATTATATATATTTTAAATATATTCATCAAATTTAAATTTAAGTTCTCAAACGCAATTCTAACATTTTTAATAAAATTGTTGATAATATTTATATTTTTTTATACAAATTAATTTTTTTTTTAAAGTATAATAAATGCATTAGAGAATTCGACCATTATTTTTTATCTACTTACATAAATACCCCGAGTCTCAACGAAATGTAGACGCATTGCTCCTAGGAAATGGCTTCTTTCTCAATGATCCTCATCACTATCACCACTCTCTTCATTCTCTCCTCTTTCTTGCCTCTTCTTTCAGCTGCAACCCAGCTAACCCCACGTCCATTCAACAAGATCTATGCCTTTGGTGACTCCTTCACTGACACAGGTAACACCAGGTCCGCCTCTGGCCCCAATGGCTTTGGACATGTCTCCAACTCCCCATATGGCATCACCTTCTTTCATCACCCCACCAACAGGTACTCTGACGGGCGGTTGGTGATAGATTTTGTGGCAGAAGCTCTGTCCTTGCCCTTCCTGCCTCCTTATCTCCAGACCAAGGGCAATGCATCTAATTATGGGATGAACTTCGCTGTTGCTGGATCTACTGCTATAAACCACGAGTTCTTTGTTAAGAACAATCTTAGTCTTGACATCACTCCTCAGTCAATACAAACTCAATTGGCTTGGTTCAACGAGTACTTACAGAGTCAGGGGCAACAGCAGCAGGGCAGAGACTCCTTTGATGATACTTTGTTCTGGGTTGGGGAAATTGGGGTCAATGACTATGCCTATACTCTTGGATCTAATGTCTCCGGCGACATCATCCGGAAACTTGCCATTAATAGCTTCACCAATTTTTTGGAGGTAACAATATCAATTAGTTACTATTAGCAATTTCAAAACTGATGTTTAAATTCATGAATACCAACTCAACTGTCTTTGTTTGTTTAAATTCATCAGTACTAACTCAACTGTCTTTGTACGTTTAAATTCATCAGTACTAACTCAACTGTCTTTGTTTGTAATAACACAAATGCTTTTGTGTCCTAAAAATATAAATTAAAAATATAATTATTATATATTTTTTATATTTATTAATATTGAAAAAATAAAAATTAACTTAAATTTAAGTAAGTGTCTAATTAAAATGATTCATATAACATTAATGATAAAATTAATAATAATTTTTATATTTTTTAATAGTAATTAATGTGAAAATGTTACAATAATTATATCTTTTACTACATAAATTAAAAAAAACTTTATTAGATAATAAATAATACAATAAAAAATAAATTTTTTATTCTTTTATTCTCTTATTGGTTTTCTTTTATTATAAGATTTAAACTTAAGATTATTAATTTAAAATTTTAAAATCTTGAACTATTTAAAATACATATTGAGGACCTATTCATCTAATCAGAAAATGTTCTGTTCTCTAATAATTAAGCTTAATCGTGCCTAAGATTTTAAGGAGTGTTAATAGATATGAACTAGACTGAGCTATGGTTTTGTTAATTTTACAGGCATTGCTAAAAAAGGGTGCAAAGTACATGGTTGTGGAGGGTCTACCCGCAACAGGGTGCTTGACACTAGCCATGACTCTGGCTCCTGAAGACGACCGAGACAATCTCGGCTGCGTCAAGAGCTCAAACATCCAGAGCTACACTCACAACATCGCCCTTCAGGCTGAGCTGACCCGTCTGAGGGAGCAGTACCCCCACGCTATCATCGTTTATGCCGATTACTACAACGCCTACCAAACGGTGGTGGAGAATCCAGGCAAGTACGGATTCAAGGAGAGATTCAAGGCCTGCTGCGGAACAGGGGATCCTCCCTACAACTTCAGTGTGTTTGCCACATGCGGTACTCCTTCTGCCACCGCATGCCGGAACCCTAGCGAGTATATCAATTGGGACGGAGTTCATCTAACGGAAGGGATGTATAAGTTGATCACCGACATGTTTCTGAACGGTGGCTTCAGTCGGCCTACGTTCAGTTCCCTGTTGGAAAGGTAAAAAACATCGCAGTTCTAATTACTCAAAATCCACTGTTACATGCGATTTGCGAAAGTGGGAGAATAGAAAGGTGAAGAAGTAAATTTGTCCTATGTATTATCCTAAGATCAAAGAAAAATTGAAAGAATAAAAGTTTCAAAACTCATCTCATCTTATCTGGATAGCCAATTGGAATTCCTCTTCTCAGCATATTGAGATACAAAAGTGGTCCTTTGGGGATTTTGGTATGAGTTTTGCATTTACTTGGATTTTTCAATTCATTCAACTAAAAAAGGAATAAATTATAATTGGTGGTAAGTCTATTATTATTATTATTATTATTATTATTTAATATCTGCAATATCTATTGCCTTGTAAAATTATAAAAATAAGTTAAATTTAAAAAATTGCTTTATAATGTTAGGAATTATTAAATTTTAATGTTAATAATTTTTAACTAAATTAGAGATAAGTGAAAAATATGTATTTGTGAGGTACTGATCCAAACACAATCCAATTCCCTTAAGCCGAACACAGTCTCTGTGATCTTTGTTTTTCAGGTGCTTGGTCAGACCCTGGGTCAACAATTGCGCTTGATGGATGACGAATGACAACACTTCTAGTGTGGAATTTTTTTTTTTTTTTTTTGAGGAAACACTTCTAGCGTGGATTTAAATACCCTGACGCTGGATACTTCTACATGGCTTAATTATTTTTTTTTAATTAGTAAATTTTATTTATTAAATTAATATAAAAATAAAAATAAAATAATTATTTAATATTATTATTAAAGAAAAATTGAAATTTAAATCAATTAGATAATCAGTAATCATAGATGGTGGTAAAAAATTGAATAATTAAAATAAATAAATTTACCAATAAAATTAAAAAATTTCATCAATCTATTAATAGTTTAGTATAAAAAGTTACTTTCACCACTAAATATTGTTTATAGTTTTGTCAATAAAATTAATAATTACTTAGATAGTCTTTTCAATTTGCTAATTGTTTAATTTAAATCTTAATTGTTATTCGTTAATTTTAACTACTAAATAAAAAATTTACTAAATACTTAATTTATAGTGGTTTAAAAATAAAAAAAAAATTACCAAATACTTATCTTATAACAGTTTAGACAAAAACCATTAATTACTATCTCCAACTGTTATATTAAATAGATCTTAAAATAATTAAAATTTTGAATTTTGAATTTTGAATTTTAAGAAAAATGAAAAGGACTAAGAGAAAAGATGTCTTTAAATAATATTAAATTTTAAATTTTAAATTAAAAGTTTTAAATTAGAATTTAGAAACGGTTGCGCAGAGATTAAGCAAGGTTGAGAGTTTAAGGAAGGCAGAGAGTAATATTTGTTGTATAATTTATTATATGATGTGAAAAAATAAAATAAAATAAAGTTTAGGCCAGATATGATTTATGTAAAATATAGACATAGATTAAATTTAAACACGGACCCCTATCAAATTTCTTCATAGGCCCATCTTTCCAAGCCCACATGCTTCCGCTTTGCTTGCAGGCTGCAGCCTTGTGTTGGCACACTCCGAACACTTCTCCTTTCGCGGACACCGCATATTATACAGGATGTTTTTAAACTGTGCTGTTAGGTACAAAATAAAAATATTTTTTTAATATTAATTATTATTAAAAAAATAAAATTTTATGTTTATTTAATTAATTATCTAATTAAAATAATATATATAGTATTAATGATAAAATTAAAATTAGTTTTTATTATATTTTTAAATTAATTAATACTAAAGAAATAATAATTATACCCTTAATATGTGCCTTAAAATATAAATTAAAAACATCCAATTATATATAACCTACGAACCTTACAGCCCAGAAGAAATTCTCAAATTCATTCTCCTCTCAAAACCTACAAACCCTGGCAAAGGGGGAGAACAGCGGAGAACATACTGCTAATGAAGAAGAAAATGGGGAGAGCACAATGAAAGAAAACCAAGCCGCCATTTCCAATTGGATTGAAAAAATTGATGTGGCTTCCTATTCAATGGAAACTAGTAGAATCAAGCCCTGATTGTTGGTAAGATAGGATGGTTTTTTTGTTTGTTTAGTCCATTAATCCATTAAGGGCAGTAGCTGGGACTATAATACATTTCATTAATTTCCTCATCTCTTAATCTATTTTTAAACATGAGTTGGCATTTTAAGTGGGATTTTTACCATTTAACGTTGTCCACCTACTACCTAAGCCCTATTCTCTAAAAGTATAGATTAAAAATGTAATAATTATATTTTTTTGTATTTAATTTGTAATGTTAACTGTTTGGATTTGCTTAGGTTTATTGAGAAACAAATTGACCCACTTGTCAACTCCAAGGGTTTTAGTTAGAGGGTCCCAGCAATGTTCTCTATTGGTAAGATGGGCTTTATTTGGTCTGTCAAGAGTTTCATTATTAAATCCATCATCGTTGCTTATAACATATTTCTCTATATGCACCCGACCCTTGAGGCCTACTGGCATCAGCCAGTTAGTGGTGCATTTCTCCCCTCCCCTTGAGCGGTTTCGAACCACCCATTGTCAATATGTTCAAAAAAAAAAAAAAAAACATCTCTATATGTTCTTTATTATCTTTGTCTAATGTCAACTGGTTCGATTTTAATTGAAATTGCTAGCTACGTTGCTTGAATAGATTTTAGTAGACATATAAGATTTAGCTACTTTAGCTTTTCCCTTCTCTGCCTTTTGTTTTGCCTCTACTTATCATAATATAGCATAAATAAAACAAATAACAAAAAATGATGTCAAATGGTTACATTACTCATTATGTATTCTTTAGTCTTTTTGATTTAGATGTCAATGTGTTTTAAAGCAATTTATAAATGCATCTTAAAATTAATCTCTTTTCAATTGATCTTAATTGTGCATCCCACATTAACTTGATGTATCATAAAGATCTAGAAATTTTCAATTGATAGACTATAGTGGTGAAAATGCTTTCGTCATACTTTTTCTTAAATTTTCATTCACATAAGAACACAATTAGATTAAGTATTAGAAAAACTTGATCATTTTTGAATAATTTGACTAAAGTGAATATTGATACAATTCAGCATTATGAATGTTTTATTTGTAATTGAAAGTAAATTTTCCATCTTTTTGGTGTTCAAAAAAGAAAAAAGTTACGTAAATTATTACCCTAGGATATTTATTGTATTAATTTAATAATAATTAATTCTACTGTTTTACCATTTTACATAATCTATCTATTTATTATATAACTAGTTTTTTTAACCTGTGCTTTGCTTGGATTGTTTTTATGTTTTTTATATTAGTTATTTAATATTATAATAATTTTTTAATG